AGGAGGAACAAAAGACTATTGTTTATTCCCTAAAATGAAAATGAAGGAAGCCTGGAAATGTCCTAGCCAGTTTCAATGTCCTGGTGTCATCATGGGAACATGGTGGCACTCACTTATCTGCAGCTCTACCTAACTTTGCTTTCTCTATGAATTGATTCAGGTGCTTTGCATGTGTGAAGAGTGAAGAGACATCCTTTGTGTGGTAATGGAAGCATCATGAGCATACACACACTGGACGTTGTCTAACATGGTCCATTCCTATCTTGACAAAATCACTGAAATTTGGGAGAACCTTTCTTTGTGTGACTAAGACTGTGGTCTTCATTCTGTAGCCACAGAAACATAGCACCATTTCCAGGCTATGAAACTGTCAGCATCCACTTTCTAAAAAAATTAGCAATGTATGCCTTTTCAATCACTAAACTTGTTATTGTAAATCATGCTTACTGCATGGCACAATAAATATAAATAGAATTATAGGTAATCTAAAGGACTGAGATGAAGCTTTATGTATGACATATGGAACCACTTTTAAGTAAAGTCACTATATTTTTCTTACACTCGTCATGTTTTAGACATGAAAGAAAAAAATAAAACAAAGATTTGATATTGTGACTTATATTCATTCATAACTGTAAGAATGAGTCACTAAAGTTATAGCACTTTGCAAATTTGTTTTAAGTCATTTTTAGTGTTCAACATGCTGTTATGCTGTTATTTTTCCATCAAGTGAGCACTGCAATCTGAACTGAAGTGATTGGGGTGCTAAAATCAAGGCAAATCACTCAAAATAAGAGTCTACTGGCCTTCTCCCAGTCCCAGTCCCTTTGCTCAGTAATGACATCTGATTGAGAAATCACTATTCAAGTGTTCCAGGACAAAATGGGTTCTTCAAGAAACAATCAATTACTTTGTTGTCCAGTCCATCCCTACCCTAGTGCCTACTCATGGAATTTAAGCATCTTAAACATTCCCCAACAAAAGAAAAAGGGTCTCTTTTAACAAGGGTGTTCAGTCCTTAGTGATGCAGAGAGAAATTATTTAAGGCAAAGACTTCTTTTTTAAAACTCCGTGCACTGGAAAAAACAAGAGTGAGGAATAGCACTGACTGATTATCCTGAGATATTTATTTAACAACTTTCTACAATCAAGCATGGGAAACTAAAGAATGAAGGGTCTGTCTCTGGGCCCCAAGGAACTCGTAACATAGCTGTGGTGGGGGCTGGCATGTAAATTAGGAAGAATAATAAAATGTTACCAGTTGTAATAGAAAAACATGTGTATGGTGAAGTAGAGAAATAAAAATTCAGAGCGTGATCACTCTACAGGGAAAGGGGGATCATAAATCCTGCAGAGAAAAGGTGACTCCTCAAAAAGACAGCAACTTAGGATGTTCATATCTATTATATAGAACAAAAGCATATTAATGCACTTGTTCTTCATTGGAAGTGTGAACACTTACTTAGGACTGGCTGCATAAGCCTTTACAACTGCTCTGCTCCACTAGCCTCTCACTATTGAATAGCAAAGTTTTTAAAGTGCCACTTATAGAAAACTCACTTAGAAGTAAATTTAATCCTGGTCACTGCTTACTGTGATCAGCTGATCTTGAAAAAAAAAATCAACCTTTGTCAGAGGATCGTTCACAGCCTCTACACAAGTCAGCCTTGTTTCTACCTGTGATAAAGTTAACTCATCAAAAGTCCCTAAGAGTCCATAAGCAACGTGTGTGTGTGTGTGTGTGTGTGTGTGTGTGTGTGTGTGTGTGTGTGTGTGTGTGTGTGTTACTAGGGACTGAACCTATGTTTCATTCATTCTATGTAAGTACACCTCTAGTGACCTATATCCCCAGCTGTTTCTTTACTTTTTATTTCAAGACAGAATCTCACTAAATTACTCAGGCTCACCTTAAATTTGTGATCCTCCTGCCTTGACTTTTCAAGTCACTGGGATTACAGGCCTGTGCCATGAGGTGTGTAGAGAAATGTTTTTTATCATAAATTTTCTATAGTAATCCTTAGAGAAAACCCCGAGTGTCTCTAGTAAAGCATTTGGCCTCTAGGTAATGTTACACTATCTTCTCTCTTTACTTAATTCCCACCATGCTCAAACCCTATTCTTCCCTCTTGGGATGTCCTGCTAAGAAAGAAAGAATAGGGGCTATCGTATCGCTTAGGGTAGAATGCTGCCTGGCTTGCATCATTCCTTGGGTTCATCCCCAGTGCCACGAAGCAAAGGAAGAATCCAGATTTCTCAAGGAGAAGCATGATTTGAAAAGATCACTGTCTGTAATGAGTTTTTTTTGAGAGAACAAGGCTTTTTTCTTTCAGTCCCTCAAGACATGCTGTGGCTGGAGAGAGTTGAAGCACAGCCTGGGGAGCTGAGACTCACACAGATTACACAGAGGATGAGGACACAGCAGAGTATAAGGTACATGAGCTCCTGGTATTCACGAGGCCTAAGGTTTTTCCCCCAATAAAGCCAAAAACACAAACAGCAACAAAACATTATTGCAGGGATGAGAAAGATGAGTCCAGCGGTTGGCAGAGGTGAAGCGCTACCACAGGGAGACGGCGTGGATGAAACATTTGCAAGTGTGCGGAGAGCGTAAACAAGGCTGGAGAACACCTGATGTGGGGAAGATGGACAAAGGGTGGCAACAGTGGACAGCACTTTACCCACAGCAAGCTCTTGTGGGGAGACATTAAGGAGATGAGACGATGCTGGCCAAGTCAGCGACCTAGGGGAAAAAGTCGACTATGGGAAGTTGGTTGATAGATGTTTTGCTGTCGTTGGCCACTGAGAGCAAAGAGGTAAGCTGGGAGATTTCAGCAGGGATATGTGAAACTGGGCGCTTGCTCCAGATGAAGAAGCTGGACACTGAGCATCTGTGTGTCTCCTCCAGGTCAGGGCGGAAAGGATGAGCAAGCTCTTCTCCACATCCCCGCAAGACAGTGACTTTTTCCAACATGTTTGACCCCTGGGATCAAGAGACTCAAGGGTGAACCTTAACATTGCCCACCAACTCATATCAAAGACAAACCTGACAACGGATGATACTTTTATCCGTTTAGTAGCTGAAGGAATGGATACTTTCCAATGGCTATACCGGTGTGAGCTTCGTACATAGTTCTTTTTGAGGTTAAGGGAACCTCGTTCAGTAAGATCAGAATTCATTGTGAAGATCTGGGACTAAGTAAAAGCTACAAGTGTGCATTATTCCATCCCTGTCTTCTGGGCTCCTCTTTAGTTACTAAGTCTTAGTAGCATGGGGAAAAAACTGTCATCATCCCGCCTCCCCTGGGGACTGCAGAGACAGCTCTGGCTTTGGACACTGACTGTATTAGACTCTCCAGTGGGGCATGGTGCATCACATCTGTAATGCTAGCACTCTGGACGTTAGGGCATGAGGATCAGGAGTTCAACCCAACCTTGGCTACATAGTGAAGGTTATGTGAGGCCATGTCTTTTCAGAAAAGGAAAACTGTTTTAGGTTGTCAACAAGTTATTACTTTTTCCTTTAGAGACTCATCTTGATGTGAAGTAAGCATCTAAGAATCTGACAGTCTCCATGTCTGAGCCCATGGTAGCACTGCAAAGAGAATGGAAACCCTACATGTCTTAGATTAGTGCATGCCTTGAAGAAAGAAAATCTAAAGTGCTTCCTTGTGTGGATGCTCCTGAGGACAGGGCATCCTACACTTGGAGTTCTTGCCTCCAGCTAATACCACTTCTTCCTCTTGTCTGGCTTCTCACCAGCTCCAGGGAAACAGAAAGGTGCACAGTTACTGTAGATGGCCTCGTTCAGGCTCCCATGAGCCTCCACATGGAAGAAAGCAACGTTTCCAAGAGTAATACACAGATTCAGAGGAATGCTAACCAAGTGCTGTCATTTGGCACATGGCTTTCAGAAAGAATTTACTACCTTGCTTGGACCAAAGCAGAATGTGCTCTCTGCAGAAGTAAGAACAAATACTAAAGAGAATGTAACCAGGCAATGTAGGTCTTAGAATCAGGAATAAAATTCAACACAGAAATATCCCTACATATAATAATTTATCAATTAAGTTATAACTACATTGTTTTAAATAAAAGGAATAAATATTTTTGCACTCATTGCCAAAATCTGCAGAAATCAAATTCAAGCATCTGGTTGCTATGTTTAGCTTGTTTGTGTGTGTCATGTGATATGTGTACCTGTAAGTACAGGAGTATGCAGTGGAGTGCTCACATGGAGGCTAGAGACAGATGTGGGGTTTTCATCACCTTTTCTGCACCCCCCCCCCCTTTCTTTTACGACAAGGTCTCTCAGTAAATTTGAAGCTTGTCAATTTGGCTATGTGGGCTGCCTAATGAACTTTAGGGACCAACCTATCACCACCCTGCCAGCACTGGGGTTACAGGAAAGTACCACCACCATGCTCAGCTGGTTACAAGAGCTCTAGGGATAAGAACAGAACTCGGCTCCTCATGCCTGCATGTCAAACATTTTGCCATCCACGCCATATCGTCAGTCCTAAAGTAACCGTTCTATTAGATAATCAGCACATAAGAGTGAACACAAAAATGATGGAAAAATTCTACGCCAGAAACAAACTTTATTACTGCTCAAAGATATGAATAGTTTTTAATTACCTTATAATATGAAGCAGGATTCTTAGACCTCAGAGCCATGTTCACCTATTTACCATAATATATCAATCACATGACATATGGACACTGATGCATTGCTTCATTGATATTTGTGGCCTTTCTTTAGCTATGGCTCAGAGACCCCTGACATAAAGCGCAGGCATTTATAGCTTTGTGGTTTACACTTTACTCTAATTTCCAGTGCTGCCCTGTGTTTAGTACAGCTAACTTCTTAACTAGTGTTCTTTCCCCACCTTTCCATTAGCATAGCAATCAAATTTGCATTACTTTGCTTTGCTCGTTTTATTAAAAGGGAATTCAGGGCACAATTGACTTTTCATTTGTTTAACAAGTGAAGAAATATTTACCTTGACAGCCATTTCATTGTAGAGTTTCATCTTCATATTAAAATACGCTGCCTGTGAATCAAGAAAAAAGAAAAGATGGCATAGATTTCAGTTACACAAAGACAGTACAGCCTATTTTTACATATAAAAGATAAGAATCTTTATACATAATACATAATAAGAGTTCTGGGCTTAGAAAATGAAATCAAACTTTGTATTGAAGAGATAGGCTTCCTAATACATAATGCAAACTTAACCAGAAAAATCTATGGTAGTCAAACTTAGAGCTAATGGAGATATATGATCATAAAATGCTCTCCGCTGAGTTTGATAATCAATGGTGCTCTGCTGAGAATAGAATAACAAAGCAGAAATATTCACAAGTGCTGGTGACACGCCATATGGTATGATTTATTCACTGGGGTTCTCTTAGCCAAAACTCACAGGAACATAAAAGGAATTCATATTTCAAGACGTCGGGTTTAATGAAAATTCAAAGAAATGCTGTCTTCAGTCGAAACCATTCAAGGATACGGATGCAGTGATGGGGCAAAATTGTGCCTTCCAACCATCTATGTGAGATGCTATGTGCTTAGCTGCCTCCTGAGTCAGCCTTGGGAATTTTGTTTCATTTAGTATTCATTTTACCTCCATAAAATCACAAATATAATGATATCACATTACAGCAAATCCCTTGGTAGAGTGAGTATTTCCTAAACTCTTAGTTTCTTTCTAAGAAAGGCACTCTATCTACTAGTACCCAAATCTATGTTATATAAAGAACCATCTAGCAATGTTTCTTATTTTAATGAAAGTACTGTCTTGAACTAAAATTTCCCTATGTGCTCTGTCTTTTAATTAAAAATAAAACATTCCCAGAGTTTACAACAGTAAAATTAACAGTGAAAGCACTTACATATATTTTTTCAACATAATATTGTTGACACAGAAACACAACTCTCATCCTAAATCAAAGAGACAGTTTACTCTGGAGACAAATCTGACTGACCATAGCTAAGGAACGCAGATTTAGGTTACCTCAAATTCCATGTTCCCACCTGGTAACAGCTTGATGAAGTTTTCATAGTTACAGAATAAATGAAGTCATAAAGCAAGGACTTTTAGAACACACTGGTGGACACATTAGGTGGCAGGATCACAGCTAAATAAGGGAATCCTAGCTGTCGGCCTTTGGGTGCATCCTTAGCCTTTGGTAGGTGGAGACCAGAGGCTCTTTAGCACACTCTGAAAGGTTCTGCATGTTCATCAAAAGGAAGTTAGGTCAGACACAGAGGTGGGCAGAGAATGATTATTAAGGAGTCTGAAGAGCCAAGACAAATTGTAACTGTGCTCTGGAGCTGTCATGCTAACCAGCTTGACATTCTGACCGGCTAGCCAGCCTTGCAGGACAGCCAGTGGAAGGCGCACTTCCTCCCAAGAACTTCCCCTGTGATACATAGCCTCATGCATCTTTCTCCAGTCAGAAGTCATGAAACGAATGGAACTTCACCCTAGCTTATGAGTATCAAGTTCCCTGGGTAGAAAAATAGAAAAATAAACTCAGTCCTCTATCAGGGGCATTTCTTCATGACAGACGAGAGTCCATACAAAGGCTTTCCCATAGCTAGCCTGTGTGAGTGGCATGGTATGATCCAGAGCAGACTGTGAAGAGCTGCAGGGATGTGTGATTCACCAACAGTCTGACTGATTAGAAGATGGGGGGGGAAGAGCTTCCCTATGCTACCAACATTACTTCCCTTAGCCTCTCTGTTCAACTTCCTTAAAGCAAATGTGGCATTCTTCATGTCATTTGAGGTGAACTAAAATACTTAATTTCATATTGCATCTATTCAAATCATACTGAAGCTGACATTGCCATGAAATGGATATATGTGTGAGTTTCTGTATGTGTTTTCATATCATAGTTTTAGGGTTTTTTGTTCTTTTTGTTTTGTTTTGTTTTGTTTTTTCAAGACAGGGTTTCTCTGCGTAGCTTTGGAGGCTGTCCTGGAACTTGATCTGTAGACCAGGCTGGCCTCGAACTCATAGAGATCTGCCTGCTTCTGCCTCCCGAGTGCTGGTATTAAAGGAGGGCACCACCAAGGCCCGGCTCATATAATAGTTACTTTCTTTTAATTAAAAACAAAAGATTCAGAGCTCACAACAGTAAAACTGACAGTAAAAGATTTACATGTGCATTTTTTCTCAACATAATATTGCTGACACAAAAACACAACTCACACTTCATGAAAAAACTATTATTGGAAACTAGTTTTTCAAGTAGAAACAGTTCTGCTTGTCTGTATATACATCAGTGCTATTTGAAAGTAGTGTGTGAGCTTTTGAACTCCAGACAAGTTTAAACCATGACTTTATTTTGTTTTTTAAATGACCTTTATGTGTGGTTTCATGTGGAGGTCTGAGGACAACCTGTGGGAGAAGTCAGTTCTCTCCTGTGGCCCAAGGATAAACAACTCCATCATTATTCTTGGTGGGGAGTACCTTAACCACTGGCCCTGACTTTATTTTATCACCTGTGTGGCTCTGGAACAAGTATCTGTAAACTCCTGGTCTAGACTCCCATCCTTTAAAAGGTGTTATATACTTCCTTGAGGTGGTGCGAAGTAAAAAGAGAGAAAGTAATTAAGGCACTAGGGATATAGTTGATAGGAAAGGGATTCACAGCTGTGTGTGGAGGTTAAATATTTAACTGCATAAAAGGATGGAGTCTTTATGAACTAAGTGGGGAGAGGTGGCTTTTGTGCCCAAAAACTGAGAAGTCTGAATTTCAAAACCATTGCTCTCCTGGGCCTGCCCAGGTGCCTGGTCTTGTTTGTCCTTTAGAACAAGGCGCCTGCACGTGGAGCATCTTCAAATGCACTGGCCAGAGCTGGTTTGTTGTAAGATGGCAGCCAGAGTAAGCAGCACATGGCCTTTCACTTCATTCTAATCTTGCCTACCAGCTACACAGCTCTGCCAGCAGACAGCTACCTTGAAGAAGGGCAGAAAACATCTCCTTTAAAGGAGCAGGAGGAGGCAGGGCCTGAATCCCCAGAAAATATAGGTCTGTCCTTAATCCAATTCCTGTTACTCCATATCTAGGACCTGTCACCTTCAAAGGATCAGGGCAGCTTGATTTTCATGCTTATGTCTCCTGCTCTTGGCCAACAATGAAAGTCTCTTAGATTTCCACATTCCTATTCTCATGTGAGACACTAATGGATTCTATGTGAGTCCCAAGTTCCCTGGTTCAAGAGCTTTGAAAATAACCTTCAAACAGCATCAGATACCAGTATCACATAGTTTCCTTAAAATGCCAAACCTAGAAGAGCCGAGCAAAGAGACAAACACCAGAAAGGTGGTGACCAGTGACTTGACATTAAGAAATGTTATGGAGATGGCTGCATGAAGATAGAATGGATGAGTCCAGAAAGATGGCCCATACTGCTCTTCCAGATGACCTGACTTGCCAGGTCCCAGGCCCCTCCACTGCTGTTGTTCCAAGTCAAGGTGATCAAACACCTCTTCTGTCTCATGCAGACATTCATGTGCACATACCCACCAATACACACACGTACACATCATTTAAAATAAAATATTTTCAGTGCCCCATTTAAAGTCAATAAAAGTTCCTTCCCATGTTATTCAGTTAAATGTTCTATCAAGCATTAATCCTTTGTAAGAAATGTAGAATAGTTAACTATATATTAATATTGTGAGCCTTGAATCTCCAGCAATGTAGTAAATAATTTTTATACTTTGAACAATAATGTTTTAAAACAAAATTATCCTTATCAGTTAAATTGTTCAATCATAAATGATCACAATTTAAAAGATAAGATTAAGTTACATACAATTCTTTCACAACAACACATCAAATTAATCATATATTACAATAGTCTTTATAGTTTCAAACTGATCTCGGGCTGTGTTAAAAAAAGAGTATTTGATATAGAGCGTATTATTAATTATATAATGACAAAGTATAGAAAAAGGTAATTTTTAAAATAAATCACTTTGTGTGAAAACTGTCCTGTATAGTTTATATTGGTAAGTCCTATCAGAACACAAATTCCAAGTGCCCCAAGAAGGAGAGAGAAAAAGGACAACCTGCCCTGCTTCTGTTGCCTGCAGAATTATTATCTTAACCAGGCATGGTGATGAACACCTATAGGACATGGCCTGGTTAGGATTCCCAGGAGGCTAACAGGAGAACCATGGTTTTCAGGCCATTGCAGACAGGCAGCACAGTGAGATCTAGTCTCAAAAATATATGCATAAAAAATAAAGAAATGTATTTTTATTCAACTATATCTAAAGCAATGTGCAGTAAGAATAAACTATATATGGTCATCTGGGGCAAGTGACCTGCGTGCCAGACCCAGTTCGGTGGTGGCGGGTTCCAAACACCGAACACCCAGAGGCAGCCTGGCTTCCATCCGCCTGCCCAGGTAGGCCAGGGGCTGTTCCCGGCTCCTGCTTGTTGTCGCTGCTCAGAGTCATCTGAGGCAAGTGACCTGCTTGCCATATGGAGTTCAGCAGCGGGATCTGACACCCCGAGGCCCGGTGACAGCTCTGCCTCCAACTGCCGACCCGGATGGACCTGGCACACCCGAACACTGCCGACACCCGGGTAACAGTGACACCTCCATCCACAAGAAGAGGACCAACATCAGAGTATTGAATCTGTTTTCATCTACCAGAAGGGAACCATGGTCCCACACCTGCCAGGAGAACAAGAAACACTTGTTACATCCACCAGAAGAAAGGATGAGAAGAGGACAAGGTAAAAGCACATCCAACAACAGAAAACCCAATATGACACCACCAGAGACTAGGAACCATACACCAGTAAGACCTCAACATCACGATGCAGATGAACCAGAAGAGAATGACCTTAAAAACATCTTCAGGAAAATGACAGAGGGCCTCAAAGAGGACCTCAAAGAGGACACGAGAAAATCCCTTAAAGAAATTGAAGATAAAACAGACCAAAAAATACAAGAAATAGTTCAAGACCTAAAAACTGAAATACAGACAATAAGAAAGCACAATCTGAGGGAATGCTGGAA